TACCGGTCACTCGCTCTCAGCTCCACCTTCAGACGAGTCCATAGAGCCGAGTGGCCCGTATCCAGAGCTTGTGGGCTGCCTCATGTACCTGATGACCTGCACTCGACCTGACCTTGCCTACACTCTTAGCATTCTAGCACGCTATGTCGCTCCTAGCAGACACAGGAAGGAGCACATGGATGCAGCTAAGAGCGTGTTGCGCAACTTGTGCAGTACGTTGGGCATGGGGCTTGTGCTTGGAGGACGGGCTCGAGTTGTCTTCACTGGTCATGCAGACGCCTCTTGGGTTGACGACTTGGCTACGCAGCAGTCGTCACAGGGTTACACCTTCCGCCTTGGCTCCGGTTCTGTCTCTTGGCGGTCTACCCGCTCGTCTTCTGTTCTCAGCTCCAGTTGTGAGGCTGAGATATACGCTGGGGCCATGGCTGCACAGGAGTTACGCTGGCTCACCTTCCTGCTGACCGACTTGGGAGAGGCGCCTCGTTCTCCTCCAGTTCTGTACGTCGACAACAAGGCCATGCTTGCCTTGTGTCAGGAGCACAGACTGGAGCACGGAACGAAGCACATTGCTCTGCGCTACTTCGTTGCTTGAGAGTTGCAGCAGCGTGGCCAGCTTCGTCTCGCTTGCGTGGCCTCACAGGCCAACACTGCTGATGTTTTCACCAAGGCACTTCAGCCTTGTGATCGTCGGCGTTTCTGTACTGTTCTAGGCCTTGTACCTACTATGCCTCACTTGCTTACTTCTTGACTCAGCTTGTCCTGTACTCTATATACCTATACCTGCATGCTTACACTTGCTATGTTGTTTTCACTTTATTGTTTGTTCTCCTTTATATAACGCTGCATGTGAACTGGCCTTGTGGCCATTTGCTTGTGCTCAGACTGCGTGGTGACTTTGTGATCCACCCTGAGCTTGCTTTGCCTTTCTTGAATGGTCTTATGACCTCTTGTTCTCCCCCACTTTGCCTATGGGGGTGTGTCAAACTTATATGCTATAGTTGTTGGTGCAACCCTACGGTTTGCATTCGGCTTGTTGTCCGTGTGCGTGCATGCGTGTGTATATGGAATGGTATGAGGGCATGAAATAATAGATATTTCATGCTTACAATAGTGTGTGAATGATGAGGCATGATTTTGAATGTGTGTGTCGAGTGAATATCGAGTTATCGCTAGTTGCGTGTGACGTCGTTGTTTGCGTGTCGTGTGCGGTTTTCTATTTTGTCGTGTGTGGAACGTTCGGCGTGTCGCAGGTGTGCACAGTAGACTTCCAAGAACTCAAGGAAGAATTTATCTTGAAGAACCAGAGCCTTGGTTTCAAGATTCAAGTGATTTCGAAGCTCTCCAAAAGGGTAAACATTAAGATAGTGAGAAAAGTTGCATTACTTTTTGTAGTGTAGCATTTCTCTTGGTGTAGGCCCTTGTGGAGGGTAGTTTCGAGACCCTTCGTGGTTGGGGACAGTGTGGCACTGTTCCACATCACTTTACCTCGGCTCTTGGGGTTTGTAGGAGCTGGGAGTCATTCCCAACTCGTAACTCTTCCTATCTTGTGTTCTAAGACTATAGTGGCTGCCATAGTACCGTTCGTTCAAACCGACGCTGTGTCGTCAATTCTTTATGATATAGTGCAATCTAAATTGATTATTGTAGACGACGTGAAGACGCTCCAGATCCAATTTGAATCAAGTCATTTGCAGCTGTGAGCAGAACGCTATCAACGTTTGAAGCCGCTGTGCAGAAATCCGTCTATGCTCTCTATCTTTCGTTTTAGGCACATTCAAGCCTATTGTGACTATAACAATAGTCTGTTTAGGCTGTAGTGGGGTAGTTCTTATAGGGTACAACACTTTTAGGTTTCCTACTTGTACCCACCTGCTTTCTAGTTCAGTCATTCATTCGTTCCATATTCTAACACCTGTGACCCTTTATGTGTGTTGCTTTCCACAGGACTACCGTCACCCAGACTATGGGGTTGTGTCAAGCTATATTTGTTATAGCTTATACTTGTTAGTCTAGGTGTACTTTATGTTTTTCTAGGGTTAGGGCTAAATTTTCTATACCTTGCTTGATTCTCATTTTCCTTCGTCAATTCTTACGTTTTCTTAACTTAACACACGTTTGTCCTGTAGTGCGGCCCTCCCGTGGGCTTGCCGCTTGTCCCATAGCACGGCCCCCTCCGCAGGCAATCTCGTCGCGACCTAGGTCGCCCATCGCCCATCGCCTTAGTGTCCGCGCCCGTAACCCTAGCCCGTCGCACCCGTAGCCTGTCCCCCCCCCTAGCCCGACCCGCCCCTAACCCTAGCCCTAGCACGTCGCGCCCTAACCAAACGCTAGCACGATCCGCCGCGGCTGTAGCGCATCGCCCTACGCCAGCACGAGCAGCAACTAGCGCCAGCAGCAGCAGCCAGCGCCAACAACAGCAGCCAGGGCCAGATACAGCAGCTGCCCGTGCCTTTGCTACGCTCTTCCCGCCCGCTGCACGACGCGGAACTCTGCACGTAGCTGAAGTTCGTTCTCCGACGACGTCGCCACGGTGCCATCGGCAAAACACTTTAGCCCGGCCATCTCGAGCTGAGGCTCGAAGGCTTCCTTCCACGTAAGGATGTCGGGTCGACCGACCAGCAGGGGGGTGACAGAGATTCTGTCCGGCGAAAACTTGAAGTAGCCGTAGCTCGGCGCTATCCCGCCCGCTGTCACATGAGTCGCCAACGTGTTAGAGACGAAGGACGGAGTCTATGAAGATTAAGCGCCGAAATATCTCAAAATCGTCAACTATAATTCTGGACAGAAAAGTCGTCGTCACAAGAGACGTCGTCGACGAAAAACGCACCGTTATGATTCTTTCAAACTCGAGTATGTTGTGGCTATCTTTGTCAGAATCCCAACCACTAGACCATTGAGAAGCCAGCAATTGCAACTGGCTGCTTCCCTCCAAGTACAAGTCCCATGCTTGACGTACTCGCCACATACTTCGCCACCCTCTTAGCAGTGTACCGGTGGGAAGGCCGGTGTCTCCTAGGCGCAACAAAACGCGCAAGGACGCTAAGAGGTTAAGCAAGGTCTGTGCGGAGTACAGGCCATCAGGTACATGAGATAACCCACTAGCTCAGGATATGGACCACTGGACTCAAATGGCTCGTTCGAAGGTGGAGCCATGAGCGCATGATCCACAGCAAGAGGGGTGAGCTATACCTTGGAGAACGGGAAGCGAAACCGCGTGAGGATCTGCTTGACCATATGCGATTGTCTCAGCGTAATGGTGCAAGCTGCCTTGTCTCTGGTGATCAGCAGGCCAAGGTAGCACTGTAGCTCACCAAGGTTAGTGCAAGTGTGTCTCCTCTGCAATTCCTCCTTCACAAAGGCCAGTGTGCATCGGTCGGGAGTGGCGAAGACCAGGTCGTCAACGTATACCAAAACAAAGAAAGGGGTCGAGCCATGGCGGACGAACAGCGACATGTCAGCAGACGACGAAAAGAAGTCAAGCGATGCAAGAGTCGTGCAAATTGTGTCGTACCACTCACGGGGAGCCTGGCGCAGGCTGTAGACCGGTCGACGCAGCTGCATTTGGGTCCCATGAGGGAAAGAGCCACTGAAGTCAGGCGGACGACGCAGCCAGATCTGCTCATGCAGGCTCCCCTAAAGGAATGTTGTGGAGAAGTACAAGCAGTGTAACTCGTAGTCGCGCTGGGCTGCGATGTGCAGCAACACCCCGAAGAGTGGTCATCTTCAGGTTGGGAGCGAAGGTCTGGAAGAAGTCTACCCTTTCAGCTAACTGAAGCCTCTCATCATATAGCGCGCCTTGAACAGCGGTGGTGATCGAGGCAGCCACTTCACCTTGTAGAGCCACATGCCACTGACAACGTTCGCCCCAAGTGGTGGGACGGCGTCAACGTAGGTGCCTGTGGACCTATAAGATGCCATCTCTGCCTCTTCAGCTGCTATCCAACACGAAGCCCAAAGTCTCGAGACCACCTCGGCGTGAGTGCGAGGGATCGGGGTGTCAAGGGCGCCTGGATCCCCCTCAAGGGCAAGCAGCATGGCGCAGAGATGAGGAACATCGGCCACTAGGAAACCAAGCACAAACTGCCTCCAGGGGAAAGACAGCATCACCCCCAGAGGATGGAGAACGAGAAGGGCCATTCACCAAGTGAGCGCTGTAGTCAAGGCGGTGGGAAGAGGCAAAGCGAGTGACAGTCGTAGGAAGAGCTGAGACAAACAACGGAGGGGCACTCGGGTGAGTGACCAACGTGGACAGAACATGCGAGACGACTGGACGGGAGGCACGGAGGTAGTCAAACAACGGGTCGGAAAACACAGTGAGGGACGACTCAGCAGGCTGTGGAACGACCGGAAGAGGTGGAACACGAGAGCAGAGAACAAGGTGAAACGGGCCGTCTGCACGGTAACGAGACTGACAGGGCTCTAGAGATGCAGCACGACTGAGGGGAGAATGACGAGTCCACGGGGACGAGGAAAGAGACTCGACAGGGGGAACAGGAGGGGACGGTAGGGGACTACGAACAAGCATGTATGTGCCCAGTCGAGCAGGCCCGCCGCCGCAGCTGCTCCGCCTCCTCTGGCATCCCCTTAACTGTCTACTGGAGATAGCTAGAGGAAGTCACACACCCTAAAGGGGTATAGCTGGCACAGTGGAAGACGGCAGAGAGGTAAGTGAGGACGAGGAGGCAAGAGGAAGAGAGGAGAAGAGAGGAGATAAGAACGAAGGAGGAGGTGAGTGAGGGATGAGGAGAGGAGGTGGGAGGTGGTTGTGGCGTCCCCTCTTACTAACCCCCTTTTACAAAGGGGGGGGTGAGTGAGGGATGAAGAGAGGAGGTGGGGGGGTGGCCGCGGCATCCCCTCTTACTAACCCCCATATCCCCACCCCCAATCAACCACCCCCTCAACCTCATCCCCCATTTCAGCCACCCCCTGGAACCGCACCCCCTTCCCCCCTTCCTTCCCCCACACCCCTGCCCCACCCACAGTAGTCCCTGCATTGTCCTTCACACGGCAGCCAGCCCCCCCACCCACCCGGCCCTACCACCTCCCCACCACAGCAGCAACCGCGGAAGGGGAGAGGCAGGGCAGAGGGTGGTGCTGCTGGGGCTCACGGCGGCCACCCACTCCACGCCACCTCCCCCCCAACAGCTGCAGTCGCGGAGGGGAAGGCGACGAGGGAGGGGGGAGAGATGGAGGGACGGGCGGCAGTGTGGCTGTTGCTGGCGGACGTCCCGCCGTCACCCCCTTCCCCCTTTCCTCCCCCATACGGCGACTGCCACTGCAAACGCGCGGGGGCGAGACGGGTGGGGAAGCGTAGAGGGGTCACGGCGGCCACCCCGTCCACGCCACCTCCCCCCCAACATCCACAGTCACGGAAGGGAAGGCAACGGGGGAAGGGGGGGGTCTGTCGGCTGGTCCATCGGCTTGCTTGTTGGCGGGCTTGCGGGTCCGATGGCTCGCTTGCTGGCGGGTTCTCGGATTCATTGGCGAGCTCGCTGGTGGGTCCGTCGGCGGGTTCGTCAGTGGATCCGTCGGCGGGTCCGTCGGCGGGTCTTCTGTGCAGGTACATTGGCGGGTCCGTCGACTCGCATGCTGGTGTGCTCGCGGGTCCGCTGGCTCATGTGCTGGTGGGTCCTTCGGCGAGTCCGTCGGTTGGTGAGCTGGCTAGCGGGTTCCTGTTATGCGCGCTGGCGGCAGTTGCTGGCGCACGCTACTGTGAGCTCACTACAGGCCGCTGGCGCGTTCGTATGATGGGCGGGTCTACGAGCAGCTGCGGGAGGGAATGGTGGGCTCATTAACGTAGGTCTAGGATCGTGATAGCTCAGTACCGTGTTACGAGACTAACTTAAGTGGTAACCAGGTTTAACAAGGGCCTATGCGTAGTAGCATAGGCCAAGGGTGTCGACAGTGGTGTGTGAAGGGAGAATATCGAGAATGATTGATGTTTCACTATAGCACTGGGGTACATATAGCAAACAAGAGGTGCACCACCAATAGTAAGAAGGCATAATTACACTAAAGCTAAAGCTACAGGCAGTTATAAAAATATATATAATATATATCGCGACACTACCCTCTCCTGACGCTACGACTGAAACTCCTCCTCCTGCTGCTGCCGCTTCTGCTGCTGCTGCTACTGCCGCTACTGGTGCTGCCGTGCCCTCTCAAAACGCTCTCGCTCCTCCATTTCCAACCGGTCCAAACGCCGCACACGGATTAGGAAGCGCACAGTGCGTGATCTAGGCGTCGCAGTGCCCGTGTCTCCGACTCCAACACCCCCAGGAACCAGAACCTCCAGTAACGACACCCCCAGCATCTCCAGCACCTCCCGTAGGAACACCCCTAGGCTCCGCCGCAACCGGTCGCAGAGCTGAACAAGGGAGGAACTGTGTGACAGACGGGAAGCTAGGAGGTGAGGCGGAGCAAGGCCGCAAAGTCGAGACAACCGTGTTCTCCACATGATTGGTCTCTACTCGCACACCCCCTGCACCCCCAGAGCCGACACCACCAAGTGCAGCAGCCCCGGCACCCCCACCCTCCGCAGCTGCACCTCCCACACCCCAAGACACGACAGGGACTGGACGCTGCGGGGGAGAAGAATCCGGGGTGACGTGCGACACACCTAACAGGGCAGGACGCGAAGAGGGGGGGGGCTACCAGGGCGACGGGGGGGGGGGGGGCGGCTCAGGGGCTCAGAACAGTGGAGGGGAACAGGCCTCAGAACCTCGGTGGTAGCGACGCCTGTAGTAACTGATAGACTCGTCGAACGTGACATCCTGGGAAGTGAAGAACTGGTAGGTGAGTGGGTCGTAGAACGCCCAGCCGGAGGAGTCGAGTGTGAAGCCAAGAAAGACGCAGGCACGGGTGCGCGCAAACAACTTGTTCGCGCCAGGGGCGGGAACGTGAGCCAGGTTACCCCAGACGCGGAAATCAGCTGCTACACCCGGGGAACCTGTCCAAAGGGTGTCAACCGTGGCCGTGCGTCACTAGGCCACAGGTTCAGCTGGTGCGCGACGTAGCGGACTTCCTCGGGCCACAGGAACTGGGGGGGACCGGAATGGCACATAGAGGTCCGGGCAACATTCATGACCAGGCCGATGCGTCGATCAGCTACCACGTTCTACTGCAGCGAGTCTGGTGGTGTGTAAGACTGGATGATCCTCTGACCCTGATAGAACATCGCCAGGCGAGTGGAAGAAAACTCACCACCGCGGTCCGAGTGCAGGCGGAGCCCACAAAGCGCCTGGGCGCCACCCCTTGCTAGTAGCCACGGCTCGAGGACGGTAGGCACGTCGGCCTTCCGTCTCAAAAGAAAATCCGTGGTGTAGCGAGAGTATTCGTCCACCACAATTAAGAAGTAGCGCTCCTGACGTGGGCCAAGGACCGGGGAGGGGTCTTAGACGTCTAGGTTCAAGGTCTGTAAAGGAGCCGTGGTGGGAGGTAATGAGGGGGAGTGAAGGGCAGCGCGCTGCCGACCCTCAACGCAAGGAGTGCACGGCAGCGCAGGCGAGCGAGGAAGCGGGGCGAGTGACTCTGAAGACGTGAGACCAGCCGGTGGTGTACCATCCTACTGAGATGTGGGAATGATGGGTGATCTAGACAGTGGTGCCGGAGGACCGATGGGTGGGTGAGTGACCGACAGTTGCACGACACAGCAGCTACCTGACCTGACCCAATATGGTGGGACCCAGTGTGTAGTAAGATATGAGAAACCCAGAGGGAGCTACCGGACACGGGAGAGTGATGGTGCTGTGGGCAGCTGCATGTCCCACGGAGGGGTCAGCCAAGGCGACAGTGACTAGAGTGCTCATTGGCATGAGGTCAGTGCAGTCGCGAAATAAACAACTGGATGCTCCAGAGTCTAGGGTGAAGGAAAGCTGTGCAGGCTGTGAGGGCGCACCTGAGCCAGCGACAAAGGCTGATACTCGACTAGTAGTAGCTGCAGCTCCCACACAAAGACCCTCAGAGGCGCCTGGACTGGGAACTACACACGCACCTACACTGGAAACACATGCCTCTACTCGTGCGGCCGGAAAAGTTCCTAGACCAGCTAGGTGAGACTCAACTAGTGCAGCAGTACGCTGGCGAAGACCCGAGGGCCAGTGCGGTGTAATAGCACCAGGATGCAGAGTGGTCAGGACTCCAGCCGGTAGAGCCAGCACCAGGGCCCGTTAAGGCCCGATACCCGTAGGGGCCGACGTGTCGTTCACTGCTAGCTGAGCCACTGCTGGGGGCGCCACACTTTGGACCCGCAGGTCCCTACTGCCGGGAGTGTTGCGGCTGGCCCTGTTGCTGTAGAACCCTAGTACACGTCATGTGAGGAGCTAGAAACGGGGGGTGCGCTGGCGGTAGCCCAAGCTGCTGCTGGTGCGCTGGGGGGCAGCCTTTGCTGCTGCTGGTTCTGCTAGGGGCAGCCTATGCTGCTGGTGGTTTTGCTGGGGGCAGCCTAAGTTGCTGCTTGTGCGCTGGGGGCAGCCTGTGCTAAAGCTGGTTTTGCTGGTGGCAGCCTATGCTGCTGCTGGTTCTGCTGGGGGCAGCCTAAGCTGCTGCTGGTGTGCTGGCACTAGTACGGGTGGCAAGTACTGGTAGCGGGTATGGGTAGGGAAGATGGGTACGGGTGCTGGTAGTGGGTAACGGGTACAGGTATGGGTACAGTCTAGCGCGGTCCAGTGCGGTTGAGTGTGGTTGGAAGTTGTTGAGTGCGGTTGAGGTACTGGGGTGGTTGAGAGGGGTCTAGTGCGGAGGGGAGCAGTTGTGGTAGGTCTTGAGTGGTGGGAAGCGGTCAAGAATGGTGGGGCGGCAGGTACAGGGTGAGGCGGTGGTTACAGGGTGGGGCGGTCAGGTGGGGCGGCAGGTACAGGGTTAGGCGGTGGTTACAGGGTGGGGCGACAGGTACAAGGTGGGGCCGCGGGTATAGGGTGGGTCGGCAGTTACAAGGTGGGACGGCGGGTACAGGACGGGGAGGCGACGGAAAAACGGTGGGGAGGGAAGGGGAGGCGACGGGATGGGGACGTGGAGGCGACGAGGAGGGGACGGGCTGGCGACAGGGAGGCGACCGGAAAGGGGGTGGGAGGTGACGGGAGTCGACGGGAAAAGGGGGATGGGGAGGAGACGCGAAATGGGGACAGGGAGGCGACGCGAAACGGGGATAGGGAGGCGACGCGAAATGGGGGCGGGTGGCGACGAGAGGAGGGGATGGGGAGGTGGCTCGAAATGGGGATGGGGAGGTGACGGAAAAAACAGGGGGCGGGGAGGCGACGGGGAGGCGGTCTAGCGGGCCCGCGGGGGGGGGGGGGGGCTTCTAGTGCACGCACGTGCGGCCTTGCGTGCGTGCGCGCGTGCGCGCATAGGTCGCAACGACGGGGGGGGGGGGGGGGGGAGAGATTGAAGGGGCACCCGCGGGGGTCGTTCTAGGGCGATTTCGCGGGCCCACGGGGGCCTTACTAAGTCATGGCGCGTTCAAGCAGCGGGATCCTAGGGACGGAGCGCAGAAATCGACGGGGCGCTATGGGTAACGGGTTACTAACGGGCGAGTATGGGGCGGTGGGCCCATAGGAACTAACTCGCTCTATACCATGTCAAAGAAGTAACGTGAGAATGATTGACTAAGGGAAAGGAGAAACAAGTAAGATATAGCAAACATAGCCCTAACCCTATGAAACATAAAGTACACCTAGACTAACACATATAAGCTATAACAAATATAGCTTGACAAGAGGGAGGAGTAGTGTCTAACCACTGTGTCGTAGAACATCTAAGCCGGCGTCACCTGACGAAAGTGGGCACTCTGGTCGACCGGCAGGTGAGATCAGACGGCGAGCTGGTGACAGCGTCGCGCTCCGTCCACTGTGTGTAGGCAATGCAGTCCGCCTGGTACCGCTACGTGTGCTCGAGTAGGGTGATGCCATCTCTAATAAAACGCCAGAGATACAGGTGCAAGCATGCAAGCCCCAACCCTAACTTGAAAGGGCGTCCATCTACCTCAACCGCTAAGACCGTGATAGTGGCCATGACAGGCAGTGGTAGTCAGCAGCAACGGCACAAGGGCGGCAGTAGCGACTGCGGCAGCAGCAGCTATAGCAGCAAGTGCAAGGGCAGTAGTGGCAGGGGCTGCGGCTGCATTGATAGGGGTCGCTGGGGCTGCAGCGATAGTAGCAGGGGCTGTAGCGGCGGCAGCAGGGGCTGTAGTGGCAGCAGCAATGGCTGTAGCGGGAGCATCAGGGCTGCAGCGGAAGCAGCTGGGCTATAGCGGCAGCAGAAGGGCTGCAGCAGCAGCAGCAGCAGCAGGGGCTTTAGCGGCGGCAGCAGGGCTGTAGTGGCAGCAGCAGGGCTGTAGCAGCAGCAGCTCGGCTGTAGCGGCGACAGCAGAGGCTGTAGCAGCAGCAGCAGGGCTGTAGCAGCAGCAGCAGCAGCAGGGGCTGTTGCGGCGGCAGCAGGGCTCTAGCAGCAGCAGCAGCAGCAGGGCTGTAGCGGCGCTAGCTGTCAAACTTATATGCTTTAGTCTGTTTAGGCTGTAGTGGGGTAGTTCATATAGGGTACAACACTTTTAGGTTTCCTACTTGTACCCAC